TTTTTTTTTTTTTTTTTTTCTTTCTAGGAAATATTTACCATGCCCGGAATTTGGATTTTGGACTGTTTATGGGGTAGGATTTTTTTTTTTTGACAAATATTTAGGAACACATAGAATTGTCTTCAGCATACATATTCACTTTATATCATGTCATAAGAATGATGTGTTTTTCATAAAGGTGGGATCGACAGAATAAAACATGGACTTTAACAGAGAAGCTTAAGCCTCTTGTGGTGAATGTCAATTTCCAAAGAGGGAACAAAACTGTCTTTAAATCAACAAACTTAGCTGGATATGTTGGCATGCTTACTGGAATTAGACCTGTAAGTAAGTAAATTATAAAAAAAAAATGATGATTCTTTTTGTGGAAATTTAAAACAAGTACAAATCGTTCTACTTTTTTAGGGTGAATTCAGTCTAACAATGAATGAGCGTTTCAACGTTGATGGGGGTTATGTAGGTAAAGTATTGTTGTTTTTTTAAATGATTATGACAAATGAAGTGTAAGTGACGGGTATATAAACAGTTGTTAGAATGCTTAAAGTTTGTAAAGAACTAACACTACACAGCACTATGTATATATTTCTTCTAAACTTCGCTACAAATCATGGGTGCAACTAGATGTTCTTGATGGTTGACTGGTTAGATAACATCATCATTTCTCACAGGGATTCTGGAATGGATTCTTGGCAGGAGAGATGGAATGTGGATGGGTTTTCTTACTCGCAAAGTTCTGGAAAATGCTACCAGGTAAAAACAACAACACACTAACATAACAAATTCAAATTAATGCAAATTCCTTGTTTTCGCTGTCATGACCACATAGTTCTCATTCACACACTTTTTTTGTAATAATTTCAAAATAGCTTCATCAGATCAAGTAGTAACCTTCACACTCTGAAAATGCATTTTTAGTATTTAAAAATATATAAATATATTATATTTAAAACAACTTAATTTTTTTCTTTTAACTTGAAGTTATGAGGATGCCAAAGACCAGCTCTCTCAGACGAAACTGCTTGCTCCTGCTTACTTCATCTTGGGTGGTAACTGAACGGGCCAGGGTTGTGTGATAACCAGGACGAGAATAAACACATTAGACATCTGGGAGTGAGTAAATCATATCAAACAGAACTATCAAATTTCTGTCTGCAATGTTTTAAAATGCCCTAAAATTTGCTGATTGTTGTTGATGTTAAAGACTTGATATGAAGCTTGGGAGATGGTACGTCCTGGAAACAAACTATGATCACTGGGAAAAGCCTATGATATTTGATGACCGTAGAACTCCGGCAATGAAGTGCATGAATCAAACCACACAAGCGGTATGTGGCATTATGTGTTAGGAATAAAATGGCTTTGTAGTAGTAATTTAGAATAGTTTTGAAGTGCTTTTAAAATAATGAGCATAATTAGTAACTAATTTTTCATGAAGACATGTTTTATAGTAGATAACAAAATTGTATTTTCCACAGAACATTTCTCTGGCATCAATATATGATGTTCTGTCAACAAAACCAGTTCTTAATAAAGTAAGTCTTCCTTTAAGTTGAATTAATAACAGCCTCATACTTAATTATATCACACTTATATTTTCAATTTTTTTTGTTTTTTATTGTTCTTTCTTTCTTTAGCTATTTTTGAGACAGAGAGAGAGAGATAGTGTTTGATCACATTTCTGCATCTAGTCAAATGTCATATGAAGTGATAATGAAGCCATTTTCTGTCCTGTCTTTACAGTTGACAACCTACACCTCACTGATGGAAGTGTCTACTGGTACTCTGGAGTCCTATATCAGAGATTGTCCAAATCCATGTACGCCATGGTGATCTGCCATCAAATCTGAATGAACTAAGGCATATGAAATACTATTCTGGATCTCTGTTATTACAGGGCCGGTGTATAAGAAAAGGAGCTTGTTAAAAATCGTATTGATTGCAATTCTACCTCTGAACCTGCGCGTATCTCTTCTCATGGACACGTGTGTTATAACTGCTTTACCACTGCAAACGTTGTGCAATTGTGCAAAAGTAGAACTGTTTGTTTTACATAACAAACTCTGAATGACCACACATTTTAAATGGATTTTTTTTAATGTTAGATGTCAGTAAGAAGTTAATTTCTTTGTGTTGCCTTTTTCTTTAATATTTTGATGATATAAAGTAATCTGTTTTTCTGAAATCCTTGGAAATGATGCTAAAAAAAGTATTTTTGTAATTTATACTGATGTTTTATGTGTCTCTTTTTGGAAACATTAGTCATTATTTTCACAGTACTGAATTAGTTTTTTGTTTAGTTTTTTTCAAATTTAATATATAAAACTGGTTTAATTAAAAGTTTCATCAACAAAGGCTAAACTGAATTTGATGCGTGTAATTTAACACCTCAATTATTTAACAGATGCAGTCCAGTTACAGTGTCTCTTTGAGAAGTTCTATATTTCTGCAGCTAAATGAGATAATTCATTCAGCATAGTTCCTTTTAGTCTAGTTCAGTTTATTCCGTGAGACCCATTATGTTATTGTGTGTCTTTTGTAATTTTTGCCTATCCCAACCAGACCTTGGTGGGCGGAGTTAGTGTAATTAGGTTCTGCCAACAAGGTGGACTAGTTGCACTTAGTGTAAATAGACTCTCCATTAATATTAACATTTCTGATTGTTTAAATGATCAGCTCTTAGGGGCCCCCTCAAAATGCGGGGCCCCAGGCAATTGCCTGCCCTATTGCTTTGCCTCTGCTTGATTTAAATTTAACTAGAAAACAAATTGTAGCAGGTTTTCTTTTATTTGTTGTGTATATGCATGTCTACCATCAGCAAGATAAATGATTATTTTAATGGTTTTACTTTAGGAATGAAAATCTCTCTCTCTCTCTCTCTCTCTCTCTCTCTCTCTCTCTCTCACACACACACACTCTCTTGTGTATCAGTGTGCCTCACACGTTTTTCCCATTTTGTTTTTATGGGTGTTACAAATCAGGTATTCGTCCCTGTGTATCGGGCGTTCTTTAATCAGAATTGTTCTATTTATTTTGTAAACAAATATTCATTTTGTTTTTCATTTACGGAGAATGAATTGTATGCATCAATGTAAATTACACTGAATTCTGACCTTTTCATGTAAAGGTCAGAATGTTTACATTTTCTTGAACAAATTTAAGGATTGAGATCAAATGTCTCATAATTTTCATTAATTTCCAGAATATTTCCAGTCTTTTTTGTGACGTCTCGGGAGCTGTTTGTAGTTATCTGCACATCTGTTTTGATCCAGAGTGACTCGGCTCAAAGTAGTGCACATCCAACCACAGGAAACTTTGTCAGGCACCAGAATAGACATCAGAAGCATCTGCACAAGTTGTTGAGATTGTAGTTGTTCTTTAGTGCCTAAATTGCACACAACATCACATCAAAGGTGTATGACCTTTTATCTTTAAATACAGCATCAAATAAATACATTTACAATGTTAGTTTTGCTCATCATTTGGATGCTTTGTACTCTGGATTTGTTAGACTCTGTAATTATTGTCTTAAAATTCATTTTGCTTCTTTCTTATGTGTTCAAATTACATTTAGGTTACATTTAGGTAATGAAAACTAAATGAAAAAGTGTGTTTATTTGTATGTTGAACTGACGGTAGTCATTCAGGGTCGCCGTGATTTTGCCAAGTAAGACATGTTCCTGGATCAACATCTTTTGTTGATCCTGGATCAACATTACTGTCCAAAAATATAGACCTAATCCAATCCCTACCCCTAAACCTAACCCTACCCATAATTTATTCTTAAAATCAGAGAGAAATGATAGGTGAATAACAAGGGTGTAGAAGCATGTAACCCTGACTGTAAGCCTAAAACTGACATTTCTTGAAAACGTATCCCTTAATTATGATTGGTTGATTAGAATGTTGTTCCAGGATCAACAGGGATGTTGATCCAGGAACATGTTGTACTTGGTGAAATCACGCTCACCAGTCATTCAGTGTGTTGTGTGTTTAGGCTCCTGATGAATGCCAAGATGAGATACAGCGTCTTCAGGCGGAGTTGACGAGTTTGGAACTTCGCCATACAAAGCAACAGCAACTTATTCAACGATTAATGAATCTCAACCAGATAGATGAACGCTCCCTAAAAGCAGGCTCATTTTATGACATGGGAGACAAACAGTACATGGGTCAAGGCTCTATATTATTTTATTAAGATGTGGTATTCATTGTGTAAATGTTATACTTGTCTGAATATAACAGCACAGTGTAGTACTCACAAAAATCAATCTGCCATAAACAGACTGTGCTCAGATCTTCAAAAATGGCAGCACGCAGAGTGGATTTTACATGATTAAACCACTGCTAAGTCCAACCCGGATGAGAGTATACTGTGATATGACAGATGGACAGTCTTCCAGAGACGCTCAGATGGCAGTCAGTCATTTGACAGGTAAAGAAAACTCTATTGTTGTGAGAAGAGATGCATACTGATAAATGAATGAAACATGATTTTTTGATTTTCATTTTTAGAGATTGGAATGATTATAAAATAGGATTTGGTGACATGAAGTCTGCTAATGGAGAGTTCTGGTTAGGAAATGATAATCTGCATTATATGACAACTCACGGTGAGTAAATCTATATATCTAAAATGCATACAAACTGAAATAGATATGTCAGGATTTGCCATCATTTATATTATATTATATTATATTATATTATATTATATTATATTATATTATATTATATTATATTATTATATTATATGCGACCCTACATTGGACAAGCGGTTTGAAGAATGGATTGATATTATATTATTTTATATTTAATTTTATTTTTAATAAAACGCCTTCTGTTACGCAGATGATTACACCCTGAGAATCAATCTGGAAGACTTTGAGGGCAGCCACCGTTTTGCAGTGTACAGAACATTTAAAGTGGATAATGAACAGGTCTTTTTAATAATCTCTTTATATTGTGATAAATGATGTGTGGATGAATATACAGAGCCCATTATGAGCCAACAGGTGGCATGTGACGTTTCTAAAAGATCATTACAGCAGGTTAATATATAATATGTTCTATTTTCATTAAGAATAAAAAGAAGGGGTTGCACAGTATCACAATTCATAAACTTCACATGACCTGAATGGTATAGTATCTTTGCACTGTTTATTTGGTTGATGTTTTAACGATCCCATTTGTCTTCTCAGAACCATTACCAGCTCCAGTTTGGCGTATACACAGGAAGCACGGGGGACGCTCTCTCTGGCAGTTATCATCCTGAGGTTCGGTGGTGGGCCAGCCATCAAGGAATGAAGTTCAGCACACGAGACAGAGATAATGACCGCTATGATCGCAGTTGTGCTCAGGAGGACAAGGGTGGCTGGTGGTTAAACAGGTTTGCACCTTAACAATGACAGAGCTTTTCACATTACAGTAATAATGACAATTACAATATGTACAAAGGAAGTTATTCTCAAGTTCATACAGCTGCCCTATAGCAGAGTAACCACTGGTGTATTTCACTACTTTAACTATGAATATTTGACAACCAAAAGGTGTCCAGCATGTTTTGTATGTTGTTTCACCTGTATTCCTCTAGATGTCCCTCTGCCGATCTGAATGGATTCTACCACAGAGGCCCCTACAGCGCAGGCACTGATGACAGAATAGTGTGGTACCCGTGGCATGGCTGGTGGTACTCCCTCAAATCTGTGCAGATGAAGATCAGACCTGCCAGTTTTGAGCCTAATGATGTTTAATTCAT